TGTTTTCGCTGGTACACAAACATGTCTATCTGTCTATTTGTCTGTCTGTCAAGCTCCCTGTCTATCTGTCTAGCTCTCTGTCTCAGAGAGAGCCACAAGACTGCGTCATCACGTTTACTCACATCTTCAAGCAGAGTATAGCACTTTGTCCGGATTTTTGGGGTTATCCTAGGTAATTTACACTATGTATACTTGTATTTATACATACCTGTGAGACAGAGATAGACAGAGACAGATTGAAAGAGACAGACACAGATAGATAGACAGAGACAGACACTGATAGACAGATAGGCAGAGACAGATAGAGAGACAGAGACAGAGGTAGACAGACAGAGATAGACAGTGATCGACAGACCCTACACTTGGTGTTAACATCACTTTCCTTTTAAAAGGGGAGTGTTAATATGACATTACATCAGTGAATCCTTGGTGTTTGCCACACTGTTTGCTCTAGCTGGCGCTCAATTTAACCCTTTGAGGGTCCGTGCCATAGATCTACGGTTTTACGTTGAAGGTCCAAATCATAGTTCTACGCCATGAGCTCAGCTCACTCTGATAAGCTGTGAGCGGTAAATTTGGGCCTAGATATGAGAGAATACATCTATGTGGTATGTGTGCACCACATAAAACAAATCCTGCAGCACACAGTGCATAACGAGAGAAAAAAAAAGAAAAGATTGTAATTTTCAATTAAAAAAGTGACTTTGCAGTGTTTTTTCGTATGTTTTTTATAGATGTATTTGCGATTTCTTGGTCTCATTTGATAGAATGGAAGATATATTACAGAAACAGAGATGATTTTGATTGGTTTTAGTAATGGAAATGGGATGAAACTGAGCTCAAAATAGCAGAAATGTTAAATTTTTGCCGATGTTCAAGAGTAAACAAATGATCCCACACGTCTAATACATGAAAGCTGGTGGGTCTAATATACGTTCACAAATGTGGTGATATTATTTTTTATACAATTATTACAATATTGCATAACAGTAAATCTTCTATTTTTTGGTTTGAATAAAAATTCATTATGTGAATAAAAAATCAAAATGGAATTCATTTGTAAGGCCTGAAAACGTAACTAATGAACAGAGGAAATGTTAGTTTAGTTCCAGGAATGGCTGCATTGTTTATTCTGGACCCTATTTTGAAATTAGAATATTTTGAACTTTGCATTAAATTGGCCAAATTACCAATTTCGTATCACTTTATTTTGTAGTTGAAAAAGATGACTTGGCGATTTGTGCTCAAGCAATAGAATAGAAGTAATACTAATGAAATAGCTAAGAATTTGGTCGACTGGAGTAATATAATTGGCTTAAAATGGGAGTCAAAGTCAGCAAAATCGTCACTGCGTAAATATCACTGACACATCAAAGTTCAAGAGAGCATAATTTCGTCAGTTTTCAATCAAATTTTGTACTTTTTGTTTTATTACCTTTACTCTATCATTTCGTAAGAAGAAATAACAAAATTATTTTTTTTTAATTCTTGGACACTGGTGCGCACTTGGAAATTTGGCCTCTGGACCCTGAAAGGGTTAACTGGCGCTCCCACAAGGTACTAAGAGGTCCCAGATTTTTTTAATATGGTGTACACCAAGTGTCAAGACCCATTCTATGTTGACCAGGCATCTCACGGCAATCGCGGAGGCAGGAAAATTAATACGTATATATACGTTTGGGGCGCTACGCATAAGAACGTATATGTTTGGACCGTTTAGGGGTTAATGCGGCCCAGAGCCATATTATTACCATCGACATACCATGTTCACTGAGTTTAATCGTTTATAACAACTACCTTTAGATGCCATCACAAACAAAGGGAGAAGTAATGAGCAATTCATGCCAAGAATTGTAAACAAAAGCATTATGTATTATGCGGAGTGACGTACTGCTTTCCCTCTGCCCTCCATAATATATAAACACATAATGCTATGAAACGTGTTTCTTATATAATTTTGAAGAAAATATCATAGATGGATTAGTGAAAATGTCTATAATACAGTAAAATAAGAGATTTAATGTGCCCAAGAGTGATTATTATTAGTATCACGTAATGTTTTCCCTCCATCCGGCAACCACCCCTCCACGTACCCAAGAGTGATTATTATTACATAATAAAGAAATATGCTCATGGAGAATGGAAACAAACTGGGTGGGACGTGCCGTATTTGAAAGACCGCTTGCCATATAGAAAGTTTTGGTCATAATTTGAGATCGCCATATTAGCACAATGCCATAAGGCGAAATGCCGAAAAGCAGGGCCATACTGTATAAGCAATTCCAGACAGAACAAACCCACCTAATGATTTATTACTACCAGCATATTATAATTAAAATCAAATTTACTCTATAAAATCCTTACCTCATATTTTGCTAGAATAGCCACAGCTAGAGATTCTGGTAAAAATGCAACTACAGTAACTGCTGCTGTATGTCCACGAAGACTCCTTTCCTCCTTTATGTTGCCAACTCGCCAAACTCGTACAGTTGTGTCTCGGCTGCATGAAATACATAGAATTGTTACTCTAGCTCAATAAAAAATTCACTCTTATCTAGTTTAAATTTCTGTGGCTCTACCATCCACTGTGTGATGTATTTGCTGGGAGGACTCACACTTATCTAAGGCACTCTTGTCTCTTAGTACAGTATTACTGAGCAAACAGCTGGTACAGCTCTTTAGCAGTCTTAAGAGGCAGACAGGAAGTTGAAAACTGGTTGCAATACTCCTGCTTATACCTCACTGTTCTGAAAGCAAATATTGCTCATGATAGAAAAGAAGACATGTACTACAGTAACATTTTCATATCAATTATTGGATTACAGAATACAGTATTATACACAAGTAAACACAGTATATTCCTCCATTTATATTTTAAATGAAAAGAAACACACATGCAATATCTTCTTGAAATTCTAATTTTTTATTTATGTTTCCACAACAACTAGGGCACCTAAAATGGAGGAATCCAGCAAATAATGTTTTAACAGAGATAACACCAGGAGGCAGCTCAGATGAAAACTCGCAAACACATAAGCTTTTAAATATCTGCACCAAATTCACATTAAACCAGCAAATAATAGAGCCTACAAGACTGGACCTCACTTTCACTAACAATGATGATCTGATGTGAAATGTTACCATATCAAAAATAATATACTCAGACCACAACATAATAGAAGTTCAGACATTTATGCGCGGAGCCCCAGACCGACAAAATGTGATCAGTCACGAGGGAGCCTTCACCAAATTCAACGTCAATAACAAAAACATAAGGTGGGACCAAGTAAACCAGGTCCTAAATAATATAAACTGGGAAGATAGCCCAAGCAATATGGATCTAAACCTATGTCAAAAACAAATTAACTCTGCAGCACTCAAGGTATGCTCAAGGCTCATTCCTTTAAGGAAAAGGAGATGATGTAAACTATAAAGAGAAAGGCACTCCCAATACAGGTGAAGGCAAAGAATAACAGAGTGGCTAAAAGAGGCTAATATGTAGGGAGACACTGGTCAGAGAAATAGCAAACATCGAACTAAAGCTAAAGGAATCTTACAGGAGTCAAGAAATGTGGGAAAAACTAAAAGCCATACATGAAATTGAAAGAAACCCAAAATATTTCTTTTCTTATGCTAAATCAAAGTCGAGAACAACATCCAGAATTGGGCCCCTACTTAACCCTTAAACGGTCCAAACGTATATATACGTTCACGCGCGTAGCGCCCCAAACATATATATACGTTTTCTTTGTCATTCATTCAACATTGCCACGATAAGTCTGAGTCACCTAGACATGAGAGAATGGGTGTGCGCACTCACTGTGTGCCATATTAAAATAATTATGGATGCCTGGGTACCATATGCTCTTTTTTCCTATTAAAAAAAAAGATTTTTTTTCTCAAAAAATTTGGGGCGCTACGCGAGTGAACGTATATATACGTTTGGACCGTTTAAGGGTTAAACGGGATAGGTCCTACACAGATGACAGCAAGGAAATGAATGAGCTACTCAAGTCCCAGTATGACTCGGTTTTTAACGAGCCACTAACCAGACAGAGTCGATGACCTAAATGAATTTTTTATGAGAGAGACAGAATTCAGTAGATTCGAACCTATCTGATATTATCCTGACACCAAACGACTTCAAAAAGGTGATAAATGACATGCCCATGCACTCTGCCCCAGGTCCACTCATGGAATTCCATGTTAATCAAAAACTGCAAGAAGCCCCTATCATGTGCTTTTAACATCCTATGGAGAGGGAGCATGGACACAGGTCGTCCCACAGCTGCTAAAAACAACAGACATAACCCTATTCCACAAACGGAGCAGTAAAGCAATATCAAAGAACTACAGACTGATAGCACTAACGTCCCATATTATAAAAATCTTTGAAAGGGTTCTAAGAAACAAGACTGCCACCCATCTAGATACCTATCAGTTACACAACTCAGGGCAACTTGAGTTTAGAGCAGGTCGCTAATGTCTGTCTCAACTACTGGAACACTATGACAAGGTTCTGGATGTTCTAGAAGACAAACAAAATGCAGATGTAGTATACACAAACTTTGTAAAAGCATATGACAAGCATGACCATGGTGTAATAGCGCACAAAATGCTTGATAAAGGAATAACAGGAAAAGTTGGTAGATGGATCTATAATTTCCTAACAAACAGAACACAAATAGTAGTAGTAAAGAGAGTAAAGTCTGAAGCAGCTATGGTGAGAATCTTTGTTCCACAAGGCACAGGTATTGGCTCACATCTTGTTCCTCATCCTCATATCTGACACTGACAGGGATGTGAGCCACAGCACCATGTCTTCCTTTGCAGATGACACCCGAATCTGAATGACAGTGTCCTCCATTGAAGACATTGCGTAACTCCAGGTGGAAATCAACCAAATCTTTAAATGGGCCGCAGAAAACAACATGAGGCTCAATTATGAGAAATTTCAATTACTCCAGTGTCGAAAACGTGAGGAAATTAAAACTATTTCGGAGAATAAAACAAATTCCAACCACACAATACAGTGGACCCCCCCATAACGATATTAATCCGTTCATGAGAGCTCATTGTTATGCGAAATTATCGTTATGCGAATGAATTTTCCCCATGAGAAATAATGGAAATGAAATTAATCCGTGCAAGACACCCAAAAGTATGAAAAAAAAAAAATTTTACCACATGAAATATACATTTTCCTACACACAAAGAGAAGGATACATGCACAATAGTAGAGTTGTACATGCACAGTATATATTGTGCATGTACTACTCTACTAAATGAAGAATAAATGACACTTACCTTTATTGAAGATGCAGCAATGACTGATGAGACACTGTGTCCTGGGAGTGCCTTTTCCTCCTGAGTACTGTAGGTCCTGTTTGGCATTTTCTTCCAGAACAGGCCTTATCACACTGTGTATACCACTACGATTCTTAAATCTCTCAAACCAACCTTTGCTGGCTTTAAATTCACCAACATGAGCACTAGTTCCAGGCGTTTTTCCCTGTTCACCTGGGTGTGAGTCTACTGGTGTTGGTTGCATCCTGGGAGACAAGATTAAGGACCCCAATGGAAATAAGTTACAGTCCTCGATGATGCACTGACTTTCTTGGGTTATCCTGGGTGGCTAACCCTCAGGAGTTAATCTTTTCTCGGTAATTGTTTCACGTTAAGCCACACCAACAACACTCTCTCCACATCTTCGAGTAATACAGCTGATGGTGGTGCAGCAACAACAACAGCTGTGGTGCAGCTGACCATGGTGCAGCAGCAGCTGTGGTGCAGCAACAGCTGACCATGGTGCAGCTGCAGCTGTGGTGCAGCAGCAGCTGTGGTGCAGCAACAGCTGACTGGTCCAATTTATCAGCTGACCGTGGTGCAGCAGCAGCTGACTGTGGTACGATAGTATTTATCACCCTTTTTACCACAGGGTTGGCACTAGAAGCTTTCTTTGGGCCCATGGTGGCTTATTTAGCAGTTACAAGCACTATAAATAATGGAATAATACAAAATGTATTGAATGTATGCATGCAACCGGCCACCCTGGTTTGTAAACAATGATGGCAAGGCAGGCACTCAGGCTGGACGGACAGGTTCGGGACGAGTCATGTTCAGAAACAGCTGATGGTGCAACAGCAGCTGGCCGTGGTGCAGCAGCAGCTGACTGATCCAGCAACAGCTGACTGGTCCAGCAACAGCTGACTGATCCAGCAACAGCTGACTGGTCCAGCAACAGCTGACTGATCCAGCAACAGCTGACTGATCCAGCAACAGCTGACTGATCCAGCAACAGCTGACTGATCCAGCAACAGCTGACTGATCCAGCAACAGCTGACTGGTCCAGCAACAGCTGACTGGTCCAGCAACAGCTGACTGATCCAGCAACAGCTGACTGATCCAGCAACAGCTGACTGGTCCAGCAACAGCTGACTGGTCCAGCAACAGCTGACTGATCCAGCAACAGCTGACTGGTCCAGCAACAGCTGACTGGTCCAGCAACAGTTGACTGATCCAGCAACAGCTGACTGATCCAGCAACAGCTGACTGGTCCAGCAACAGCTGACTGATCCAGCAACAGCTGACTGATCCAGCAACAGCTGATCGTGGTGCAGCAGCAGCTAACTGATCCAGCAACAGCTGACTGGTCCAGCAACAGCTGATCATGGTGCAGCAGCAGCTGACTGATCCAGCAACAGCTGATCGTGGTGCAGCAGCAGCTGATTGATTCAGCAACAGCTGACTGACCCAACAACAGCTGATCGTGGTGCAGAAGCAGCTGACTGATCCAGCAACAGATGACTGGTCCAGCAACAGCTGATTGAGGTGCAACAGCAGCTGACTGATGCAGCAACAGCTGACTGGTCAAGCAACAGCTGACCATGGTGCAGCAGCAGCTGACTGTGGTATGATAGTATTTCTCACCCTTTTTACCACTGGGTTAGCACTAGAGGCTTTCTTGGGGCCCATGGTCACTTATTTTGCAGATGAAATCACCAAAAACGCTGTAACAATACGAAATGTTCCGATTGTATGCTTGGATGTTACCGCGGAGGCTGGCTTGTAAACAATGCCACCGGCGGAACATGTGAAGCTGGCTCAGGCCGCACATTAGAAGCGTCTCGGACGAATAGCGTTGAGCGAGTTTTTTAGCAGTATGCGAGGCAAAATTTTAGTGATAAAATGTATCGGTATGAGGATTTAACGTTATGTGATGCCAACGGTATGCGAGGGTCCACTGTACAGCAAAAAACTAGTGTAAATGACTTGGGAGTGATCATGTCAGAGGATCTCGCCTTCAAAGACCATACCATTGTATCAATCACATCTGCTACAAAAATGGCAGGATGGATAATGAGAACCTTTAACCCTTGGACTGTTTACTCCGTATATATGTCTTACGCGTCACTGCTTCTGACGTATTTATACGCATAAATTCTAGCAGCTTCAAATCAAGCAGAAGAAAGCTGGTAGGCCCACATGTGAGAGAATGGG